AACACTTTACCCACAACCGAAGTAAGGCTCACTGGTCTATAATTACCAGGGTTGTCTCTACTCCCCTTCTTGAAAGGGGACAACATTTGCTAGTCTCCAGTCTTCTGGCACTATTCCTGTAGACAATGATGACATAAAGATCAAAGCCAAAGGCTCTGCAATCTCCTCTCTCGCTTCCCAGAGAATCCTAGGATAAATCCCATCTGGCCCAGGGGACTTATCTATTTTCACACCTTCCAGAATTGCTAACACCTCCTCCTTATGAACCTCAATCCCGTCTAGTCAAATAGCCTGTATCTCAGTATTCTCCTCGACAACATTGTCTTTTTCCTGTGTGAATACTGACGAAAAATATGCATTTAGCGCCTCTCCTATCTCTTCAGACTCCACGCACAACTTCCCACCACTGTCCTTGACTGGCCCTAATATTACTCTAGTCATTCTTTTATTCCTGACATACCTATAGAAAGCTTTAGGGTTTTCCTTGATCCTACCTGCTAATGGGGGAACACTTCAGCGGTCAAGGACATTCGGCCTCAGGATCTTCTGGTAAACATCCTCCAAGGCAGATTGGGAATACACAACAGTGCAGAGTCCCCGAGCAGAGGCAGATAGTCAAGTCTGGTACCCATGAGGACTGCCTCAACTAGGATAACAAAGTGTAGAGCTGGATGAACACAGCAGGCCAAGCAGCATCAGAGGAGCAGGAAAGCGTACTGCCTCAACCAGGATCTTAGGTTCATGTCACACTACAGGTGACCCCAACACACCATACACTCTCTCACACACACACATAGAACTTCTCTCATCCACACACTGTCTCTCAAATACACACACACTCTCTCCCTCACACATGCTCAAACACACCGTCCCTCACACACACACACACACACACACACACACAAACACGCTCTCTCTCTTCCGCACGTGCACAGGCACTTCAACACACACACACACACACAGAGTGCACCCCCCCCACACACACACACCCACACACACTCCCATACACATACACTCTTTCTCTCCCTCCACCCCTCCCCCGTACCCCCCAACCCAACATCACCCCCCACCCGCCTCAGCCACCACAAACACATGTGAATCTATGGAGTGAATTTGTATTTGCAAATACATTCTATTTTGTTCAAAAAGCACACAATTTATAGACAGTCAGTCAACGTGGCGTTAAATTCCTACTTTAGAAATAAAACCAGTCTGACTCCAAACCAAAACACAAAGAGATTCTAAACAAGGCCTCACACCTAATATGTATTGTCTGGCCTAAAATGTCATCTCTTTACATTGATAAAACCTTAAGTTCTCTCAGGACAGTGACTTCAAAGGAATTCAGGGATTTATATATACATATTAATCTTATCTTATTAATCATATTAAAACCTTCTGACTGATTAAAGATTTAACAGCATCTTAGAAGTGTTCAATACATCCTCATCAGTGGTGTGACCCTTTGATCATTTGCTTATAAATTCTGTGCTTGATGCTATTTCTGTCACTAACACCTGAAGAAGGAGTGAGGCTCCGAAAGCTTGAGTTTTCAAATAAACCTGTTGGACGAAAACCTGGTGTGGTGTGATTTCTGACCTCATCCGATTGGGAACCGCTCTTTGCTTTCGAGTTTGTTTCTGTGTAACATGATATATCGGCGACATAACAAGCAACTTGGTCCAAATATAACAAAAAGAGAAAGTACTGGAGAATAAAACTCACCACCTCTGGCAGCATCTGGGGCGAGAGAAACAGGTGTTTAACATTTCGAGTCCGGTCTTCGTCAAGATTGGGGTCACTGGTCTCGACACATTAACTCTGTTCCTCTCTCTACAGATGCTGCAAGATCGGCTGAGTTTCTCCAGCATTTTGTCGTTTTTGCTTTGTTTCATATTTCCAGCATCCTCGGTTTCTTGTTCCATTTTGATTCAGACGTCAGACATTTCAGGACCACTTAGCCCTTGCACTGTCTGAATACTCATAGATGTTAAGGAGTGACTCATACTCCCGTAACAACTGCAGTCTATCTCTTCCTCAGCACCAACCCCTCTCAGAAACACTCCACACCTCCTGCACCTTCGCTGCCCTGACTCTCCCATACACCGTCAGCGTTTGGGATGCCCCGTCATGGGTTGTTGCGAAAGGACAGGAAATGGTCAGTAACATTTATCACAGTGCTGTATAATACCGAGATAGATGTCCCAAACAACATTTCCATTCGCTCAGTATTTGCATCGAGCTCAGATCCGGTTCATTCGGCTGAAGAATTGATTTCTCGCAGTCGGGATAGAATTAAGACTCCCCAGGGTTAGATCAGCTCCCCGCTCCCCAAGTTGGAGCAGAAGGCACCCTCGATGAAAAAGCTCTGGTCGCAGGCACGTTTGGATTAAGGTCCTTATTGGTACGGGCTTTGGATTTTCACTGTCGACTCACCGAGAGGGAGAACAGTCTGCCGCCAAGAACTTCACATGAACTCTCGGATTCTTTCTCAGTTGGTCAATTGGGGAGCTGTTCTTCCGGAGCGATGAAAAGAACAAAAACAAAAATCGGTAATTAGCATTTTTATTTCGGTGATGGAAAACTTCTTTCATTTCTTCAACAAGAAATTTCCATCGTTGGCTAACACTGATTTGGACGTTTTTTTTCATATTTTTCCAAACTAAGGGGGAGGCAATGGCCTAGTGGTATTATCGCTGGACTGTTAATCCACAGACCCAGGTAATGTTCTGGGGAACCGGGTTCGAATCCCGCCATGGCAGATGGTGGAATTTGAATTCAATAAATATCTGGAATTAAGAGTCTAATGATGACCGTGAATCCATTGTCGATTGTCGAAAAAACCCATCTGGTTCACTAATGCCCTTTAGGGAAGGAAACTGCCATCTTAGCTGGTCTGGCCTACATGTGACTCCAGACCCGCAGCAATGTGGTTGACGCCTAATTGCCCAGAGGGCATAAAATGCTGCCTAGCCAGTGACGCCCTCATCCCGTGAATGAATGAAGGTTAAAAAAGGTATACTTCAATTGGATTTCCCTTTGCTAATTTTACATCGTAAGAGAGAAGACAGATGAAGGAGGTAGATATAGCTGCAGACACGGACAAACAGATTCGCCGTATTTTCAATGTCCTCTATAAGTCATCACCACCAACCACCAACCCCCAGCCGCCAACCCCTGCCAAAGGTGTGTCCACTCTGGTTGAGATAAAGCTTAGGTCTCTTATTGCTCCTTCTGAGGAGAAAGAGCACTTTCCTCGATCATTTTGATGCATTAGTGTGCGGGGCACCGTCAAAAACAAAAAGGTGATGGTAGCTGTTCGACACGAGTTCTGAAGCATTGACATGGGACGACTTCATCAGCACATTAATATTCATGCTATTCTGTGCAACCAATGTGACTTGAAAATGAAAGGAAGCTGGTCATATATCCTCGACCCCCTTATTAGGAAACGCGGCGGCAGTTCAAAGTTATTTTTAAATGAGAGAGAAAGGCACTTGACAGATGCAATATATGCAAATCCGGGGCTGAAAGCACAAATTATCATCTGCAAACACTGAACAGTAATTCCATCTGCCCCAGCACTAGCCTCTTGGCTCCAAGTCCCATAATGAGTTTTCTGAATTGCAAACTGACAGACATCTTAATCAAGTCAAATCCTCAAAATTAATTCTGATGCGCGATGCAAATGTGTCTTTCAGTCCCCTCCCCATTCAGGTCTCCACCTTTTCTGTTTGCTAACTAGTCCAATCATCTGGTAAATATATAGGGTCTTATATTGTAGAAATCCAACCTGCGTCAGAAGTCATCCCGACAGCAAATGTGACTTTAATAATTGATACACGCCTTAAAAAGGCATTTTTTTCTTTGAAATCACATTATAACTTTGCACGTCTTTGCATGTTAAAAAAAAAGTTCAGATTGTAGCGTTCTACTGATTCAGTTGTGGGGTCGGGTTGATGCAGGTAAATTACATTCTCTCTATTGGTGTTTACGTAGCGCGAAACCGAAAATTTTAACGGGGGCATTTAAGCAACAAAATGCTTTTTCAAAACAATCGTGCATGTGCAATTTTGCTGTCCCCCTCCTCTGCGGAAGGCGGTGATTCCCTGCTGAGATGGGGTATCCAAGGCGACATATGACTGAAATGAGCACTAACCTCATGCGCAAGTGTAGAGGGACTCCTGTTACTCTGGTCCTAAGCCTGGGCCCACACATTGGAAGTCACTATCTTGTGGCTGGCTGGACAGGCATTCCGAGGGAAATGAACAGAAACTACTGGTCTGACTTGATCCCCTTTATGTGCTGTACTGGATAACTTCGCCGAAACACTTGGGTCCACGATTCAGTTAACACTTCTTAGGCATTACCCGCCTATTCATTGCTGTTAAACTCGGGGAGGGGGGGGGGGGCGGGGGAGGGTGCATCTATTTTGGTCGATGCTCACATGCAGCAAAAAGAACACTGTTTGAAAAGTTGGCCCTAACTGCCTACGCAGAACGCCACTCTTCCTCCTGGTAACTCTTTGATTTGGAAAGACTCCCTCTTTTGAGCGTCGATGAGAAAATTGTAAAGTGATTCCGATCAATCAGTAAGCAGCGTGGAATATTACCATTTAGCAGGACCGTGTAAAATATACATCGAATTGGGGAGCCGGTAAACACGTGCAAGCACTGGAGCTCATGGCTCAGTCAGAAGCTGAGCTGGACCGCGGCTATCTGCAAAACTGTAGACATGCGTTCGCCTTCAATGTACACAGCAACAAGGGCTCACTCAATAGCTGTTCTCTGACTAACAATAACTGGCAGGTAGATACTGGTCTTGCAGGAAATGCGATCACTGATTTGTTGCTGTCGTCTTTCCTATAAAGAAGATTTACAACACAGAAACGAAGAAAGACCTTGCCCTGCGCGCGCGGAGTGCAGTTGTGGTTGCCGACCTTCTCCTAGTTAAAATATTACCAATCCGAAAATATAAACTATCAGCCAGGCAAATCCCACAGCGTGCAGCAGTGAGATCACATTCTGACAGTATCCTGATGATGTGTGAGTTGTTCCCAAGTCTAAGGTTATGTTTTTGAGGAAGGCTGCGAGTTAGAGCAGATATTTTCGGAGGTGGTGCACACTTGCAAACAGATAATCGAATTTCTTCAACATGAAACAACGTGCAAGTGTCCTTTATTACGATCGCCCCAGTTCACACCAAAACAAGACATGGACCCGCATGAACATTTCGGGACTTTTGACTGATGTTGGTAACAGAGCGGGCAATATATTTTATGTGTATATTACTTACATACGAATATGTATATATGTATAATATAAGATAAATAGCGTATAAATAATAACATATTATCCATTATTTGTCCAAAGAAATTTTTCGGGTCAATGTGAGCTGCGTCGCGCCGGCTGCTGATATTCTCCCCGCTTTTTTTTTTAACATTGCTCTGCACTGCTTGCAGGATCAACTTCTTCGAATGGAATTTGCATTTGGCACCGTTGAAATAACCGACTCAGGATGTCCAAGGCAGAAGCCGAGCAGCTCAGGAGGAGCGACGGGTTCGGGGACGGTCAACTGTTCCAGCCATCTGGAAAAGTGCGGTAAGGAGATAGCGGCGTTGAGCAAACTCGCGGAGACGCAGGAGAAACAGATCATTCATACATTCTGTCCCAAAGTCGATGGCAAGTCAACCCTCGCACCATCAAAAGGAATCCAGTTAAATCCCAAGACAGGGCAGATTCCTTACTAGGTATTAATTCGAACCCTTGCGGTGTTGCTCTGCACGTATGCAAACGAAATGTGACAGGTTTTGTTATCCTGGCTTTGTAAATTCAACATCAACAGGGTCCGTTATCTGCTGAAGATATAACATTATCTATATTGAGCTGTATCCGGCTTGTGGACAGGGTTGGCATTCTGGCCCGTTTCAGCTCTGAAATGTGTGTATAGTCACAAAAGAAAAGCGTTATCCTGTATTTTGAGCGGCTCACTTAACCTTGGTTCGAAAGTCATGATTCCGCTTAACTTCAGACTGAAATGTTGCATTTGCGCGTCTCTGTTCAACTGAACCTTAAATATTTCTGAACAGGGTGAACACTGGGATAAAACGGAGTCAGATACTACACTCGTAGCTGTAGCTGACCAGTGCATAAACAAACGCCTGGCTGTAGAAATGAGGAGCGTCCAGACAAAAGCACATAGATTTGTAGAAATCCTGTTGGACCAAAGGAGAGACGAGACGAGACAAGAGGAAATAGTGTACAGTATTCTCTAACATGCAACGATGGTTTCCCATCCAATAGTTTGTCGTGTCAAAAAATGCACATGCTTTGTGTAAACTCGGTATCTGCAATAAATCTTTACAGAACGGGGAGTGGAGATGAGCGGGGACGGACATTTTTTTTAAACAAAGCTCCAGATAAATATTAAGGGTCTTTATTTTGAGTAGGCGCCGAGCTGCTCTGTCGTAATTATCATCACGGCAGGGTTAGATTGCTAATGTGAGTGGATTTACTGGCTCCTGAATTTTTTTTCCCGCAAGCTTGTAATAAATTAACCAGACAGATGTGAGTCCTGGCTGCTTGCACTCCAGTGAAACACCACTCAATGAACTGGTGTCAGTAGATAGACCTGGCAAAGACTGCACGATGCCCAGATGTACTACAATACAATACGTTACGCCAACAAATAAATTTGCCGGTACATCCGATAATGAAATGCGAAGATTACCATGTCAGAATTTTTTGTTTTATAGTTCGCCCTAGCAGTGAATGCAAAACGTTTCGGGGCTCCTTTCCTAAGAGTTCAATGCATGGTGTGTTGGCACCTTAAACTATGACATGCTACAACTTCTCCGGTTGTCGTGAAGCAAGGGGGTATTTTCACTTTGAGGTGTCCTGTAAAATAAAGCACCTGATTATAAGGTAAATAGAACAAGCAAGCGTCGGACACTTCGAAATGTAATAGTCTTTTTTTGAAGGTAGTGCGTTTTGCGTTCTAAATTCTCGGTGCGCCCTGTAAATGTCTCTCTCCCTTTAGGTGACAGTAATTGCCAGTTTTCACGGTCACCTCAGTTCAGGAACAATGGAAGGGAATCCACCTCAGTGGAAGTGTATGATTTCTCACGGCAGCTTTTTTAATATATACATATCAGAGTAAAATCCCAGATTATTTTAACGGCACCGTTTCCCAACGGCAACAAGTCATTGATTCTCAGTGTTCTTGACTTCACACACCGCACCATTACATCAATGGGTTCGATCCAAATAAGAATTTTAACCCAGGAAACATTTGCTGCTGTAGGGAGGGCGGGGGTAGGGGTTGCGGGTGGTGGTGCATTGTCCTGGAACTGATGGCAGCCAGAAACCAGGGCGCATGAACCTCGGTGTGACAGGGGTTTTGTTTACAAAAAAAAGCGTCTCAAAATAAAATGCGGTGCAGGGAATATTGCAGGGCAATGAGACTGAAAACCCCGCTGGCAGGAGACAGGCTTCTGAAATATATAATCACAATCAAAAGGGGCAAAGACCGGGGTCAGGGTGCAAAGTGTTTTACTCCCAGACAGAGGAAGAGGCCGGCCCATGTAAAGCTATCAATCCGGGACGCTTCAATCTTCCCTTATTCCCGATATCTCTTCGCCCGTATACTCTGCTATCGTGGGGCTTCTGCTCGCTGCGTCTGCAAAACGTCGTGAATTCCCGAGGACGTTAAAAAGACAAACATCATCTGAAAGTTTGTGAGCGACAAACTAACCGGTTGGGTTGCGAGCTGAGCCTCACGGCCGCCGGGAAGAAACTGTTGCTACCAATGCAGGCTTGGCTTTTGAACGGAACAAGGCTGGATGGATGGGAGAATCTGGTCGAAAGGTCTGTCCATCAATTCGAACAAAGCGTGTGGGATGGGGGGGAAAGGCGGCTTCCCGATTAGCGGCAGAACGGGTACAAATTGTACCCTTGTGAAATCAGGCAATGAGAATCCGTGCAGCAGGGTGGGTGAACGGATTGTTTCTCTCATCTGTGTCCTTACGAAAGTCTATTCACAGAACTGAGGAGATTTTTGTGTGTGTTTGTATGTGTGGCAGGGGAGGCGAAGGACTTGAGTTGCTCTCGGTGCCAAGGAACGGTCCAACAAAGTGGTTCTAAAAATACAAAGCCCGAATAGGACACGTTCAGGCCCTGTCGTTGAGTTGCGGGCTGGTGGAGGGAGAAGAAATTCGGTGCAGACATCACTCAGTTCTGAGGGGGAGAGAGAGTTCTGCACTGAGCATCCGACCCAAATCGGATAGACAGGAGGTGTCACGCTGCTCAGACATGGAAACATACTGCATCGATTTCGTTCACTTCTTTCTTATCGGCTGCTCCATGGCGAGGCTGCAGCTTTCGATATCTAAATTAATCCTATTTGGAGTGGGAAAGCAGCTATGTGAGTGCACGAGTGTTCCTCATCATATGGGCCTTGGTCGCTCACCACCGAGCCATGTCATACTTCCAAATACGACAAGGCCGAAGAAGTGGGTGTCCCTCCGCCCTTTTTGCACAAAATTCATCCCAGTACGCTCCGTAATTAAATACCTCCTCCCGATTCACTGCCCGTGAACAATTCACGGTTCTCTGCCTCGCACCTTTGAAATCATAAAACAGTCGGCATAGTCAGATTTCGGGGGTGAAAGATAGCCGAGGAAGATCGCCTTGGCTCAGCTCTGAGGGCTGAAAACACTGCCGTGAAACACCCGGTTTTTATCTTGCCCTTGGCGTACTTTTTTTTGTGGGAGAAGGAATTTGGCGGCGTGGTTTGGGGGTGGGTGTCGAGTAAAAGAGCTGGGAATCAGAGGGACATCCAAACGGGGTGCGAAAAGAAATCAAACATTTCTGTGGGGCGAAAAAATCTGTATTTACGGGTGTAGGTCCAAAGAAAGAGGGATCGATGAGATTCATCCGAATAATGCCAGATATGAGAAGTATGTAGAGAGAATGAAACACGTGGGATATCCCTCCGACAAAGAAGCCAGAGTCAAAATTAGGAGAGGTTTTCATGGAGCGGAGGAGGTGAATTTATTACTACCGCTGACAGGACGGGTAAGGTTAGGACACATAGATCAACGAATAATCTAAGGGAGAGAAGACGAGATGTACTTTTTTAAACTCCTGGTTGTTTTGATTCGGACCACACAGCCCGAAAAGCGAGTGGAAGCAGAGTCTAAATAGTTTTCCACAACAAAGGCAATGTAGGTCTGAAAGGGAAGTATTCGCAGAGTTAGAAGTGGGTGTGACTAAGCTGATGATTCATCCAAAGATGGCATAATGTGCCGATTAGCCCACTGCTGTGCTCTGTATGATTCTACCACGGTGCAGCACTTCATCACTTGTCCAAACCTCGAAAAGCCTTTCAGTTTTAGAGCAGGAGGACCATTCCCGCAGAACGGTCGGAAGCTGAAGGCTTCACTTTGGTCCTTGTAACAAATGAACCCGTTCTTGATTCTCGCCGGACACGGTAAAATGTGACATGTTGCCGCTCGGTGTAACTCAAAGCCTCCAGGTGCTGGCCGACATGGAGCCAAGAGCAAGCCGGCTTCCCTTGCGCGACAGTCAGCCACTGTTCATCCCTTCCTGACTGACTGATTACTGACCGACTCTTGAGTTTTGGTACATTTTTGCTTCAAACCATTGCGGATAGTATAACGGGCGCGGTGGGTCGGAGAACCAGGGGGCTCACAGTGACCCACCACCCACTGGGGTAGACATGCCCACCATTCAGGAATGGGCTCCCCAGTGAACAGCACTTCTCGATGGTGCCACCTATTCATTCCCTCCTGAAAAAAAAGGCTCTGGCGCCTGAAAGGCGGGAAGGGAGCCCTCGTGAACTTCCTCACCTGTTTTGACACCTTTTCCCTCTCCCAGCAACCAGGCTGTCAAACCGGAGCTAGAGGAGGCTTCTGGACTTTGGAGAGCTGACTTGGCGACCTGACAACACTAACAAAGCATTCCTTCCTAACAATCGTCCGGTTAAGTTGAGAAACCCAAACGAACAGATTGTATTCTTCAATCATTCCAAAGGTTCAGGAGCATGACATCACCGTTTTGAAGGCGAAACTATTTCCAGCAACTCTCCGCCCCCGAGAATAAATCTTACAGCAGCTGTGCATTGTTGACATCTGCACATCAGCCTGGGGAGGAGAGTCTATCTTTCCTCATCCGAGGCTCCCGTTGTATGTTTACAACGAGCGTACAGCAAGCGAAACGAGCTACAAAATCACGCCAGCGTGTAAAGTCACAGCAACCTTCTCATTTCAAGTCAGATTAGTTGGACTTTGTCCCGTTTCAAGCGAAATCGATAGGATTAATGAGATTGTATACAAAAGTTTATGGCAGCACTGGCGTCTCTGTGTGTACACAAATCAAGCACAAAATGTGATCAGATTATCAGTGGCAAGACCCACGCTGCACAGCAGTGTGGCAAAGGCGCGCTTCTCAGTCTTGGCGCTATATTCCTTAGTTTAGTTGCCTGAGGCACAGCTATCCTCACACCAGTTTCAACCAGGACCGAGGTTTCATATATATATACATATATAAACACAGCATTGAAATGGTTCACATAGATCTCTTTTCGAAAAGGTATTCCCCTTCTCCCCATCCCCCATCACTTCTGCCGCCTGTACACAGTCTTATCGAGTTCAGATTCAAGGCTGTCAGAAATTATGGGACAGGAATAAGTTGCAAGTTGCAAGTGAACTCAAGTAGTTGACTGGAGAAGCATTCAGGTATTTGTGTGGGAGAGAGCCAGTGGTATGACTGTTGGGACATTCACCCTCCTGGATCCACCCCGACAGCTGCTCGCCCGCTTTGCTGCGAAGCGTCACCAATCATAACTGGGCAGATCACGGAGCCAATCGAAGATTTCGCTGCCCGACATCTCCGTGTTCCAGTTGCCTGAAGTCACCAATCCGACATATACAGAGGCGGGATTTCCTCTTCTTCGTTCCCTGGCCTCCTCCTCCCCTACATCCCCAACCCCCACTTATCCAGCTCGCTTTATTCCGGACCCTACAACTGTCTGTCCAAATGGACAGCAAAAGGAAACAGCCGTCCCATCGAACCGGCCAGGGAAAGACAAGTGTTTGGAATTAGCAACTGGGATTAAAAGGACCTGGGGTGCAAGTCGTTTCGAGCAGAATAAGAAGTTGGAGTCAAGAAAACAAAAGAAAACAAACATTGCCTGTTCAGAAAGAAATCTGCATGGACCATTTGAAGGCTGCTTTTTGATCGGAAACCTTGCCCCTGGTTGAAACTGGTGCGGGGACAGCATGGCAGCGACATCTCTGAAATCTTTGCAAAACTCATCATCTGGACATCATAGTACTTTCGGGATCAGGCACTTAGCCGGGACGCCGAACAGTGAGAGTGGAGGTAAGATTGGGGAGAGAACCTAACAAGAGCTGAAGTTTTAACTGTCCTTTTTGCCGAGTTGCCCCGAATTATTTTAAACGCTAAATTGCTTGTTTGGAATTCCACAATCTTACCGGCGCGATTAAAAACTGTTGACACAGTGCTTCCGAATCCATTGACTTGGCTGCTCCCATTCTCCAGTGTCTCCGCTTAAACAAACGGATTGATTTGGAAAATTTATTTTCTAAAATGATCTTACGTCTGAAATTAATTGTGCGGCTGGAGGGGAGGGGGTGGTGGCTGGGGCGGCGGGGTCGCTATTTGGAGTTAATTCCTTTTGGTTTGCGAGCCCAAAATGGGAATGAACACGCGGGAAGTACATTTAAATCCCAAGTCGTGAATTCTGTTCATTCACCAGAGGCATAAAATTGGCACACCCACGAAATAGAGAGGAGAAAATAGTTTGTCTGCACTCGGGGGCAATTCCTCGACTATTTTGCAATTAATTTGAATGGTTTTCACAACAAACAAACCTTGGTCACAATCAATGTAACCCCGGCTATCAATACTCGTTTTGATTTCAATAGACTACGTCTTGTGAGTATGTATTAAATCCCAGTCACGAGTTACTAGCCATTGTTTGAAGGTTAGCCTTAGTACTCATTCTGGTCCCAATATAATTAATACCTCCGGCCAGTTTAATGGCAATTCTTGTTTCAAGTTGCTGGCCGCGGTTAGAATATACTAGCCCTGGTCATACGGTGTTTCAAAACACTGGTAGGCTGAGGTGTTTCCATTCGAAAACTGCGGAAAGTATCAGAGCGAGAAAACAACATTTTGCAAGGCACGCGAAAGGTATATATTTTTTTCTAGTTGGTGCCGGCGTGCAGAGGAGAGAAATTGCCAACAATGGCGTTTTGATACGGGTACCTCTACAATCTAGTCATGTCGACTCCCGACACACATGGTGATGCAACCTTTAATACCGTCGCGCGAACGGTGCAAAAGTTCCAATACAATGATTAACTTCAGTAACTTTAACTCAAAATTAACACACATTCGTGCTGGCCCTTCCAAAGCTTCCAGGTAACCAAATCAGAGAGGTTTTTTTTTCAGTGTGCAGGCAGTGCAAGGGCACAGTTATCAGAGGCAGCAGGCCGTCTGTGAAGAATAACACATATTCAGATTAGTTGAAGAGACGGACCGGAGTTTATACATTGCAATAGTCTTAATATAAATATATAAACTAATTAACCAAAGTATGCGTCAAATGAGACTGATCAAGTCAAATTACCCCTTCCAGTGCTCTGGGAAATATCAAACGTGAAACGGCTCTCATCAACACGAAACCACCTTTGAAAAACCATATTTTTAAAAAAATTACTCATAGTTTTACTCAGCGTCCCTTGCTATGGATTAGGGGAAGGGGTTGCTTTTCAGAAACAGAGCAGACCCTGCCCCGTGTCACTTCTGTTCATTGTGCAGGATTTGCAGTGTAAAAGAGAGAGAGAAGGGGGCAAGTATAAAACATTACACGTTTTCCAAATGGAAAAAAAATCCCGGGAAGCGGCCTGGGAAACGCCACCAGTCCCGATTATTTTGTGATTATCCGCGAAAAAAAAGATTTATGTGTATTTTTTAACCTTTAAGAAAATATACGTCAGTAGGCCGGCCGAAGTTTACAAAACATTTATTTTCTTTGTGTGCTGATCCATGCTAATGGTTCGCCATCAAAATTGAGCAAATCATTGGTGCCAAGATCGGAAATGTGTGCAACAATAGCGACGTCCTATAAATTTATTTGGCGGATTGAAAGTTGTAGTCTGAGCCGTAAATTGTACGTTTAATACAATATTTAGTGATTAATTAATGGGCTGACTGTAAATATCGAGGGAAAATGTAGAAGTCAGTTTCCAACCTTGTAGTCAAAGATATTTTTTCTAAAAATCAAAAATCAGCAACGAGGTAAATTTGTAGGCCTTGTACAGTTTGGAAGAAGGTGAGAGATACGTCCCAGTCAGTGATAATTTTGCACTTGTTCAGGCCTGAGGAAGCTTGTGTTGCGGCGCAGTGAGGAAGGGACAGTAATTTCTTATTCCCGTCTGTTGTGTTGCTCACCCGACCCGGCAGGAGAGAGCGAGCAGCTCCGGCGATGTAAGTCCGACGATTCGGGTTCCGAAGACAGTTCGGCTAAAAAGAAACAGCGGAGGCAGAGGACCCACTTCACCAGCCAACAGCTGCAGGAACTGGAAGCGACTTTCCAGAGGAACCGCTACCCAGACATGTCCACCCGGGAGGAAATAGCGGTGTGGACAAACCTCACCGAGGCCAGGATCAGGGTAAATATTGCAGAACAGCGAGAGAAAGAAAAAGTTCCAATGTTAACTGCAGATTATTTTTTAGAACCCTCAATCAAGACTACTGGCGTAACTGAGACGCTGGCTCGAATTTAAGACTTTAAAATCTCCGTACTTAACAGCGAGATGTTTTTTTTTTGTCTTAGCTTTACACCTTGTGTGGATAAAATTGTTTTCAAAGCAAGGAAGGCTTACTTGAGGGAATAAAAGTAAATACGTTTTTGGCACAATTTTCGAACACAAATGAGCAGACAGGTAGTAACGGCAGCCTTTCAGGGATCAATGGGTTACAAAAATGCAATCAGTTCAGACAGGAGAGAATGCACCGTTCCGGTAGCTCAAAGTCTGTTATTCAAATCTGACTCCCGCGAGGGTGTGTATTTATCCCATCCGGGGTAGGGGTCTCTGAACGCCTTGAACCGGAGGTTTATATCGAACCCGACACCGGGTTTACCTTCAACTTTCTCCCACGAGTTGAACAAACCCGTTCAGTCGGCGAAAGGACATAAGACGGGTTCCGCCGATCGGGAAAGTGGAACTGCTCGGGCACAATAAATGTACATTTGGGCCGTGCAGATATGTAGATTTTATGTATATTTGGGCCGCGTACAAAAGTACAATTGTACCTTTACCACAAAGCGTGCAGGGAGAGAGGAACCTGATCGAGTGTGTGCACTAATCGTTGAAGGTCGAGAAAAGGGGTTAACGAGACATCTGAAATCCTCTGGGCTTTATTAAATTTTACCCGTTGCGATTGTGTTGGAACACTCGCTCAGTTTTTTTTATTATTGAGTGTGTTTTGAGTTCCCGTGTAAGAAGTTAGGTTTTAAATGTACTAGACAGCAAACCGTCAATCAGAATCCCGCTGCGTGGATTATAGAAAAAAAAATGAACCGCATACTTGCATTTTATCTTCTCGTCACCCAAGCTGAGAATTAAACTTGTACTTTTCGGTTTGGTTAGGTGTGGTTCAAAAATCGCAGGGCGAAGTGGAGGAAACGGGAACGCCACCAGCAAGCAGAGCTCTGCAAGGGAGGTTTTGGAGCGCCCTTCAATGGCCTTGTGCAGCCCTATGAGGACGTGTACTCCGGCTATTCGTACAATAACTGGGCCACGAAAGGACTCGCCACCACCCCCATCTCGGCCAAGAGTTTCTCTTTCTTCAATTCCATGAACGTCAACTCTCTATCGTCGCAAGGCATGTTCTCGACACCCAGCTCACTGCCTTCAATGACTATGGTCCCATCCGCTTTACCGGGCTCAAGCTTGAATAATTTGAACAGCCTGGGCAGCCCTTCGCTGAATTCGGCGGTGTCTGGCACTCCCTGCCCTTACGGGTCTAGCTCCAGCCCGTACGTGTACCGGGACAACTGCAACACCAGCTTGGCCAGCCTCAGACTTAGAGCCAAGCATCACTCTTCTACCTTCAGCTACGGGCCCATGCAGAACCCAGCTTCCAACCTCAGTCCCTGTCAATATGCGGTGGATCGGCCGGTATAAAATGGACTTGATACCTGTATACGCCGCTTGAAGGCGAACAATTTGGGACAGGGTGTGGGTGTGGGTGTGGGGGCGGGTGGTGGAGGGGGAGTTCCGGCTCCAACACGCAAAAGTTATGATAATCGCTCTCTCCCCCTCAATTTATAAAGACCAAAAGTTTCAGCAAAACCTATCTCTAGAGCGACAGCACGCTTAGCACTTCTCTACATTTGCCATTGAACATGCTTCTTTACAGCCAATCCGTGTGCACTTCGGCCCGTGCAGAAGTAGTCTTTGAATTACACAAACGTGGCGAGGAAATGAGAATGAGTAGTTACAAATCCCAAACAAATCTCTATTTTTTCTCCAGAAAAAAATAAATTCTATACAACTTTTAAATTGGCAGATACTTCAAACGCAATGTCAAAACCTACTATTTTTTTCACAGTTTCTTTTCAAATTTGGCAAATACAAATCGAGATAACTGTGATTGAGTCAAAGGCAGGCTGAGGCGGCTGATTTCTGCTGGGTGGCACATTTCCCTGCGAGAACTCCTTGACAGATTCTCGCAGAGGCGAGAACATTTCCCCACTCCCAACACCACATCCCCACCTCCCTCCCCACCCCCCAACCAATCCCGCCACCTCTTCCCCCACCCTGATCAGGTTTTCCATCTTGGAGGGCAGATTTAGAAATGATCATTTAGAAAATGGTCCACTTGACAGTTTCAGAACATGTCCCTCCGCACAACCACAGCGGCCGCAAGTATATCACGCTCAGGTCTTTGGCGCCTTTGGTCCAAGACATCGGCCAAAATGTCTTTTTCTTTTTTAAGAAAGGGGCAGTGGAAATGATTTTTTTGTTGGGTGGGGTCTTTCAGTATTGATAGTCTGGAATATATTTTAAAATATTAATAATCTTGTAGTGTTCGATTGTTTCCCTATAAATAGGACAGTATGAAAATGAAACGGACTCTTTTTTTGAAGTTACGTTTGTACACTTACGTTTAATAGGGATTGTCTTGCTTTTGGAAAGTTTGCGCCTCAGTTGTGCTGTTTATACGACTTTACCAGAGCACTGTAACACACGTATGCCTGTCGATTAGAGCATCTGCCCTCATTAAACCGGGAGAGACGCGAATGAGCAGCAAGTGCCGCGCGAGATTGGACGTTCCCGTTCATCGGTCAGTGCACGCTGATCAGAAACAGTAGGGTTTGCGCCAGACTTCGATTGGTTTCCCTGAGATCCCTACCAGCGTCGGGCTGGGCAAACTCTATATAAAAACAGCGCCGCCGGTTTTTGATATGGGACAGGCAGGACCAAATTAAGAACAAAAAAACAAAGCTGCTGGAAAAGCCCAGCAGGTCAGGCAGCATCTGTGAAGGAAAAAGCAAGAGTTAACGTTTCGGGTCCGGCGACCCTTCCTCAGAACCAAATTAAGATTCGTTTGAATGACTTGTGTCCAATGGAAAATTAACTTGGCGTCCACGTAAATATTAATTGGATAGGTTGGGCTCGTCCACAACTTAGTGGCGTGTAACGGTGGAACAGATATTTGGATAGCATTGTAGATTTGTCAAGAAACTCGATGGCTGTATTCCAGCTCTCTCCACGCCCCCCCCATCCCACAGACCCCCCTTTCTGCTCTTTTGTTTTCAAAGAAGGTTTTGGAAGCTCAAATCCGGCCAAGTTTTGTTTGAAGTTCGCTTTTTTGTTATCAATCCGCAGATTGGGAGGGCGAGACACTGGAATGATGTAGAAAGTGCTGTGAGGACAGGCCTCAGTCAGAGAGCCCACCAACAGCGGCATGTGTACTTCCCCTGTGCTGGCAGGGCGGCGACTCCTCTCAAAAGTAGGAAACGGGAGAAAAGTTCAAAGTTCCTTTGGGGATACCACCTCAGAATAAATCAAGTATTTAGAAGCATTTTTGTTAAAAACGATTACTTCGGCTGCACCTGTACAGTGTCAGAAATCGCCAACACTAACATTTTTTTTGCTGCTGTGTATTTTTAACTCTTTTTTTCCAAAAATCAAAATAAATAGATGGCGGATCCACTTTACGGTGGGAACACTTCACGAAATTTCCGCTGACTGATTGATAAGTACATCACGGTTCTGAGATACACTGTGCTCGAATTGTTTCCATTTACACGCGAGACTTTTAATTGCAAGAAAACATCATCTGCGAATACACCAGGAAAAGGCGGAGTAGGATTATTCAACAAATGAAAAGTATTCGATATGGAGAACTGTTCATATCAACCTCTCTCTATCCAGTTTCTCACTCTCCGCGACCAGCACCAAAAAAGTTCTGTTTCTAAAATTATTAGTTCACATGAATTATTGAATTCACTTAAGGCCTGCTCGAAGTATGGCCGTAAACCACAGTCATAGAGAGACAGAGGAATGTAGAGTTTGATATTCAATTGCCGGTGTCTCCAAAGACGTTAATAGACGAGATGTTTGAACCTATTCTATGAGGAAAACATTTCGTTCAGAATTCAAACACTTTTTTTATTTGCTTGGAGAACTTCTCTCAACCTTGAGCGAATATTGAACCGGGCACATGGTCACACTCTAAAACGACAGCTCCAGAATGGGTGCACTGCGCCCGGTTGGAGTGAAGGCAAGGCGGACCTGATCCGGCGAAGCTCACCGGAAGGGCGACGGGACGGGCGAGCAGTTTGAGTGAAGTTGTGGCGTTGTCTTGCTCCGAGTGGGCGATCAGCGGTTTGAATGTGTGGGTGGAGAGGGAGCGGGAGCAGGAAACCCGCCCCCCGATGTTGAGTGAGCGCGACAGTCGATTCGTTCGAACTCTCTGCGCAACCCAATCGAAAGCAACACGGGGCACAGGATTACACCGGTCTGTTTTGATCAAACCCACGCTCGCTCTCCTGGTTATCTTTTCCAAGCAACACCATCTGACAGCGAGGCAATAATGTGACACACACACCGAAGCGCCTCGTCACTGTTCCACATCTTGTGTATGACGGTTCCCTGTCCTTTAATTCCCTTACCTTGAGTCCATTTTGGGGGGGGGGGGGGGGCGCATTTTACTACAGAAATGCAAGTTCTTGTTACCCTAGCTCAGCACATTGTCCGATTATTTGCCAAAGAATATTTATTTAGAGTTGACCTATGCCCCCCTATAGCTCATGAACCATTAGGCCAGTCGAACTTACCGGTAAATATCAAACGAGAAGGGGGAATAAAAGGGAAATGGGGGGGGGGGGGGGGGTGGAATTGAACAACGCCGGTCAGGATTCCACCCGCTGACGGGTTACTCAATGACAGAAAGCACAGGCGACGCGGCCCCAGCGCCGGAGATCACAAACCGGCACATATGCATCATTTCGAGATTGTACCTTCAGGGTCTCCCGAGGGTGGTCGAAGTTCACAGCGCAGGGGGACAGAGGCTCGTCGAGGTGTGAGCCCGCCAATTCAGCTCCTCACGGCAAAAAATAAGAGGAACAAACATGAATGAAAGGGAAAAAAAAAGTCAAACGACCACGCAATTTGGAATTGCGGCTCCTTCCCCCCATCTCACTGTCAAAATTACAGACTATGCATCATCTCTTCCCCCGCCCACAACTTTTTATTCCAGAGACAACAACAGCTAAAGAAAACGATGGGACGCACAGAGCAGCAGGCGACTGCGTCCTAAGAGCGGAGTTTCAGGGTCAATTCTCCCCTTCTGCGCAATGCTGACGATTTGCAGCTTTTTAAATAATCACTTCAAATTTCCAGCACTTTACAGCATTTTGTTCCTGATGCCTACTATATTCTGATACACTCAAGTGACTCCTCGCCAAGTCCGTGTTTCAAAAACAGAAGGATTCAGAGTTGGGGAGAGAGAGAGATCTCCTTTATCCACCCCTTGTACATGTAAATTGTTCACGTGCAATTGAACAGAGATTTATGTAAGGGAACAACGCCTGAATTCTCTCCTGCCAACCGGGGAGCAGTGTGACTCCAGTCACGGAGCCTGCCGTTTGTCATTGTGAACGGAACAGGCCTGCATCCTCGGTCCAACTCTGGACAAAGTCCCTGAATTTCCCGGCGCAAGCAAATCCGCAGCAACGCGGGACACAGGATCACTCCGCTGCACTGCAAATAATAATTCAAAAAAAAATCCTTCCCAGCACACATGTTCCTGCACAACTTTACATCTTTCAATTTGCATGACAAAACGGTCCCAACTGAGAGTCAGGTGCCGTTCAGATTACATTTCAACCTGAGCTCCGTTCCACGTTCTGTGATCGACTGTCCTGTATTTTTTTTAAAAAAAAAGCCGAACCCGCTCCCCTTCTCCGGAAGGATCTGAAAACTGGATGTGTTTGGCGAGATGCAGCGCGAGGTGTGACGGGTTGAGATGAACGGTCAGCTGGAGGAGATGGTATATCTTGCATTCTGAAGCCGTTAACCCCTTGCAACCTGCTTTAAAGGACGAGAGTGGATTGTTCCTGATTTACAGCATCCGCGGTTCTTTCGTTTTTATTGTGAATTGTTTAATGGTGTGCGTGAAGGGGGGAGAGGAATACAGAGTCCACACTGGCTCTATGTTTCAGGGAGCGGGCAACTGGGAGTAAACAACACAGTACAATATATAACTGGCAGGGCATGAAGAGACCTTCAACGGGAACCTTAACGATTAAGGTCTTCGATTTTGGAAAAAGTGTTGTTCCCTGCTTTGTATGATCGATTGTCAGTTCCTGGAGAATATTTCTATTCTTGCCCAGCACTGGAAGGAAAATGCGTGCAGAAAGAAACACAATTTCCCTCATCTCAGCAAAACCTAGTCAACTCAAGGTGGTTTGGATTCTTGCATTTCGTTTGTTGCAGCCTGTTCTAGCTCAATTGAGCGGATCCAGGTACACCATACGTGGATGAAACAAACGAGGGATTATTGTTCAAATCCACTCAGAAACTGACCAGTTCATCCACCCGCTCTGTGACACTAGCATTGTGCGGTAAAGTTCGGGAATTTGTTGATCACTCTCTCAGTTAATCAATCACTCACCTGTATCAGTGTCGGGCCCCTTCAAGTCTGGATGCTGATCTCTCCCCAGTCTTGCCTGTAAAACATGAGTGAAGACGGTTCTTTAATTTCGGATTTGCCCAATGTTTAAAGTCGAGTGAATTGTGTCGAAATCTTCAATAGGTCATTACACTGGTAAAGGCTATGATATCTGAGCGGACGGGAATTATACCAGGAGTGGCCATTTCTTAGGACCGCAGAGACCAGACTGAGGTTAAATTCTATGCTGTAAAGATCTCTACAATCCCCCATACTCTCTTGTCAGGTTCATCTGGCTGTCTTCTCCCAATCTGTGCGTAAATCTTAAAAACCTGTCTTTTCCACCAATCATTCAGTCATTCCCCCCCTCCCCCCTACCCGCACCTTTCCTTGACTGAGATTATCTTCTTCTTTGGTGAAAGCTCTGGGACTATCTTCTGCTTTAATCGGATCGAGGGAGAATGCAAGCTGTTGTTGACTGGCAGAGTTGGGTCTTCACTAGGCTGTGCAGGTTTTTGAAGAAACATGTATATTTGAATCTATTATCACTTTTGCGACCCCACCGACCGCTGTGCAGCCATTTCCACTCCACAAAGATGCAAAAGTGAAGGTGTAACTTCAGAGTTCAGTCATAGAGTCATACAGCACAGAAACATATCCTTCAGTCCAACTGGTCCCTGCAGACCAAACGTCCCCATCTGATCAAGCCCCATTTGCCAACATGTGGCCCATATCCTGCTGAATCCTTCCTGTTCAAGTACATATCCAGATGTCTTTTAAATCTTGTAATTGTACCCACCTCCACTTATTCTGGCGGCTCGTTCCATATGTGCACCCAACTTTGCTTGAAAAAGGTACCTCTCAAGTCCTTTTAAAATCTTTCCCCACTCATCTTAATTCTATGCCCTCTATTTTTGGACTCCCCCACCCTACAAAAAAGACCTTATTTATTCACCCTATCCATGCCCCTCAAGATTTTATAAACTTCTGTAAGGTCACCCCTCAGCCTCTGAGACTCCAGGGGAAAAAAAAGCCCCAGCCGATTCACCTTCTCACTATAACTCAAACCCTCTAGACCTGGCAACATCCTTGTAAATCTTTTCTGCACCCTCTCAAGTTTAACAACATCTTTCCGATAGAAGGGCGATTACAATTGTAAGCAGTATTCTAAAAGTGGCTTCATTAATGTCCTATACAGCTGCAACATAACATCTCAACTCCTACACTCAATGCTCTAACCAGTGAAGGCAAGTCATGAACTAACTGCACAATGTTGCAAATCTGGCAACAGAACTTCATATCACAGATTATAATCCTACTAAGGTATCAATGCAACCTTAAAAATTCCTGCCATTTATTGAACTGAAGGAGAAATGCTAATAAACAGAAGTGGGCATAGGGACAGGCGGAAGCAAAATGGACTCCCTGATTGCAATTTAAAACCATGTAATATAATTAGCGCTTCTGGGTCTCAGTTGGCTGCTGTTGGTAGAGAGAACCATGATCTAGAAATGCAATGCACAAAATACCCTGTGGGGAAAACAATGCAAATGGGAGGGAAGAAGAAACAGACAAAAATAAGATGAACACACAAGAACCAGGGGCCACAGTCAAAGGATGTGGCGTAGGTCATTTCGGATTGATACGAGGAGAAATCTCTTCATCCAGAGAGTGGTGAGCCTATGGAATTCTTAACTTTAAAAAGTGATTGAGGCCAAAATATTGTCGGTTTTCAAGGAGGAAATAGGATAGTTCTTTGGAAAAAAGGAATCAAATGGTACGGGGTGAAAGCAAGAACTAGGTATTGATTCGGATGATCAGCCATGATCAAATTGAAAGGCAGAGCAGGTTCAAAGGGCTAAGTAGCATACTCCCATTCCTATTTTCTCTATTTCTATGAGGGAGATCCAACACAAGCCATTTATCACTATGGATAGCCATTTCTTGATTGATTTCAGGTTTGTAATCTTCATTATCCTTACCAAAAAAAATTCGAGATGAGCCAATTAATATGAAGAAAAGCTTCCTAAAATTGGTCCTTTACATCCCACTGTCTTAACATTCACAGTTTCATTTTAAACAGCGAGCAGGGTTAACTGGTCCTTTTCCATTCAGCCTTGTAAATACTTGTCCAGATCACTTGTGAACCACAAGTAAATTCATCTTTTTCCCAAGATTGGCAGACAGCAGTAATTGGAACCTATTCACAATATATATTGAGTTGAGGCAAAAATGGCAAATAAAAGCAGATGCATGATTCTGTTTTGTATCTTTTAAAGTTGACTTATGTTATATGCTGCAGGGTCTGACATGCATAATTATAATGGTTTAACTTGTCAGGTTTAATATCCCCAAGCCCGTCACACAATGACTTACTATCTAAACAGAAAGAAAATTTTGGTTTCACTGAAAAAACAAGTGTTTTCAATAGAAAACACAAAAGTATTTTCAAGAATAAATGTATTCAATGGTTACCACTGACAAATCTGGATTTTCTACAAGACTTCATGCAAAAAGTTTTTCAAGTGCAAGTCACAACAAACTTGAACAATTTTGCTTCCTCTTACAGGGTTAGTTCAAAGCACAAGCTGGCATCGGTTGTGTGTGAACTGATCATAACATATTATTCTAGTTTTAGTCTAAAACATGAGTATTGCTGATAAAATATATATTTTGTCAAACAGGGAGCTGTCCTCCCAAGTGTCTAACATTAAATGTGATTCCGCAGTTGGGACAAAATTTGTGACAAATTGTGACAAATTTGTATGTGTGCAAAGAATTATGCTGACAACCAATATGGGACTCTCAGCCAGTCTCACATTGTGGTGCACTTGCTCACAATGGAAGCTGTACATATTAATACACATTGGAGACAGAAAGAACACGTACACATACTGCCTCTGTTTCAGTGTAACACAGTAGGTGATAACCATTCTCCAGTTCATTTCACAGGACATTATTTGCCTTTGCTAATCGAAATCAATCTGCCTTGTTTAAAAATTTAAACATAGCTTCACTGTTACTTGTCAGTCATCATTAACTGGTGTACTCTCCAATGGCAACACCTCTGCAAATCAAAGTCTGTTTGCCAACAAATCAGCATTCTCCTCTCAAACATGATAATTCTTTTTTCTTGAATTTCATATTTCTTGCAAATTGTCCTATGAGTAAAAAATGAAAGGCTTGACAAAATACATTTTTTCTCAGCAATTCTTTTTAAAACATTGAGTTTCACACTTCAGTCCCATGGATCTGGTTTTTTTTTTAATCTTGATGAAATGGGAGTGCTTTTCATTAATTCCGCATTTATTGTTCATTCCTAATTTTCATTGAGAAGTTTGTGGTGCTGCAGTCCTTTTGGTGTTAGTACACCCACAATGCTGTAGAATCTTGACCAGCAACAGTGAAGGAACAGGCAATATAGTTCCAAGTCAGGATGGTGTGCAATTTGGAGGGGAAGTTGCAAGTACTCCCATCCATCTGCTGTTTCTGCCCTGTTAAAGACTGTAGGTTTGGGAGCAGCTGTCAGAGGGGTTTGGGTAAGTTGCTGCAGTGCATCTTGTAAATACAGACAGTTGCAACTACTCTTCATTGGTGGGGAGAAAGTATTTCAGGTGGTGGATGGAGATGATCAATTGGGTTGATTTGTCGTGGATGGTGTTGTATCTCTTTCAAAGGTGTTGGGTCACACTCATCCAGGCAACTGAGTATTCCATCACACTCCTGACTTATACCTTGAATTTGGTGGGTCGGTGTTGGGAAGTGAGGAGATGTGTTAATTGCTGCAGAACTCCCAGCTTTTGACATTCTTTTGTAGCCACTGTTTTTATGTGGCTTGTCCAGTTCAGATCATGGGGTGGGGTTCAGTGATGACAATGCCCTTTTTTATATCAGGGAACATGATTAGATTCTATTTTGTTGTGGATGGTTGTTTCTTGATACTTGTGTGATGTGAATGTTGCCTGCCATGTATCTGTCAAGCCTGAATGATCCAAGTCTTGCTGCATGTGAATATGGTCTGTTGTAACATCTGAGGAGTTGCAAATGGTACTGACTGTTGTCCAAGCAAGTGAACATCCCCAATTCTGATTACATGACTGCTTCTGAAAAACTCATTTGATGCAAAGTGGAAGAAGTGACTGATCTTAATAAATAATACGAATAGATCGGAAACTCACCACTATTTATAATGGTTATTTTGCACACACAAACAGATTCTAAATTCCTGAACATCAAACATGGTACCTTGCAACTTTCTATGGCTTTCTAAGTGTTGATTTATACGTTCAGTTTTTGGTTTTCAAAGTAAGGTCCCTAACTGGATCTCCAGAATTAGCTGATTTCTATATTTTATTATAGTTTTCAACCTATTAACATCTTATTTTTCTTCCTACTTACATTAATAAAAATGATGATCTGCATTGATCGCACTGTCTCCTTTTTCACAACTGACACCACTTATCAGAAGTTTGGAAAATGCCTTCAAGCGTGTATCACAGCAGATCTCCAAAACTTGGTTAGCATTTGAAGAGATTTTTGTGTTGATCAACACATTCTCCTCCATGTGAAGAACAATTTAAACATATATTGATGGTGCAATCAAACACGCAAATGGAGAACTGTTAATTATGAAGGATAAATTGACAATTCTACCACTGACAAAACTAACCGAGTCCTGAAGGATGTAGATGCCAAACTGGGCTTGCAACAGACAATGAGAGAACCAACATGAAGGAATAACCCAATTGACTTTGTTCTCACCAATCTAAATGCTGTAGATACTTCAGTCCATGACATGATTGGTGGGATTGACCACCAATGCAGTCCTTGAGGAAACTGTGCCCATCTTCAGTTCAAGGGAGCTCACAATTGTATTACGTACAGGTTACTGGCATGCGAAATGAGATAGTTTAAGAATGGATCTAGCAAGTTAAAACTGAACATCAGCACACAGAATTGGGCCACTTCATAAACTTCAACCTTGTAGCATGGAGAATTCCCTTGTACTTGTTTGCCAAGAGGGAAACAGGGAATCTTCAAACTTGTACCATGTAGTTA